TTAACAAGAATCGGGACGTACGTACGTACGGACGCCGCTGAATATATAGTACCCCGTTCCGCGTTGCGGCGGGGGACAATAATCCTGCAGCTGTGTGCAGATAAGATCGAAAACCTCTTTGTTCATTCGAAAATGATCGTACCAGTCTTTATCGCCATCAGTTTTATTCATGTCCTTCCACCAAACACACTGTATTTCTTTCTTCCAGAGAGGTCTATCTTGTGACAGACCTATTGCAAGAGCAGTACATATCTGATACTGCGTGTCTTCTTAAGCGCCACTGATGAGAGAACATCTTTCTCTGTTGATGTTCAGAGACAAAATGAGACAATTTAATACATTTATTATATTCACTTTCAAGTTTACTCATTCTACATAAGTTCAATGGGAACGCAAGTAATTTTACTATTACACATGTATGTATATTTACACATGTGCACCCGTGAAGATCCGAGTTAGAATTGATCTTCAGTAACCCATGCTTGTCGTAAGAGGCGACTAACGGGATCGGGTTGTCAGGCTCGCTGACTTGGTTGACACGTCATCGGTTCCCACTTGCGCAGATCGATGCTCATGCTGTTGATCACTGGATTGTCTGGTCCAGACTCGATTTATTTAGCTGGAATATTGCTGAGCGCCTCCCTCACTGACACATGTGCACATTTTAAATTTTGTGATTGCTTTAAAGTGATTGAGCCCCCCCTACAATATCAATCTTTATTTCTGTACCGAGGAGACCACGGGCCTATAGTATATTTCATATATACAATTTTCTTATCACCATGGCTTGATAAATTAAAACCGCAACATTTTGAATTACAAATTCATTTGAACAATTCAACAGAGAATGAAATTTATCAGTTGATGGATGGACAAAATAGTGTTCTTTAATATATTTTTACGCATAATATTTTATGCTGGACATAGTATAGTAGAAAATGATATTCGTCTTCTATAACATTATTATTACAACATGTACTGATTCTATCCTTTCTTTTGATATTCATATATATCGTGTTGTGGAAGTGACCTTCATCTTCACGACAAATGGTTTAGAACTCCCTACCTATAGCTAGGTATATGACTCTCAGTCCCTGAACCATATTACTTTCCCTTCTGCCACCCCTTTAAGCAATGCAAAAGTCCTAAATGAAGGAAGTCTAGACTTTACTCAGGTTTCGGAATCTCCCTGGGGCTCCTTTTCACTTTAAAAGGAATTATTTGTTCCTGTCAAAATTACATATATATTTACAGACTAAGCGTTCGTCTAATACTCCACACTCAGCTCACACCATCGTTACCTTCAAGTTAGACCTTATATACTGTTATCAGCTTCCGGGACTGACTAAAGTACTGTCGGAAATTGAAAAAACTGTTTTTTTCACATTTATATCTACAATTTAGGTAGTTAATATGTGAAAGTGTGAAATATCTGTTGAACTAAGTTCGGCCCAACTACAGTCTCAGTGGTAGGGAGATAGGACAAGTTAAAAAAGGATTTTACTGAGGAGTTATTAGTGCAGAAATGAGCAATGCGGTTTTTTTCTTAGTCCGAAGAGACTTATTTGGAGCAGTGAGTGAGTGAGTGAATTTAGTTTTACGCCGCTTTTAACAATATTCCAGCAATATCACGGCGGGGGGACACCAGAAATGGGCTTCACACATTGTACCCATGTGGGGAATCGAACCAGGGTCTTCGGCGTGACGAGCGAACGCTTTAACCACTAGGCTACCCCACCGCCCCTATTTGGAGCAGACCATGGCTTTATGCAAATTAGTGTGCGATGATATTGTATAACAAATGACACTTTTTGAATGTCCATTTTGAAATTAGACTTAGCTTCATAATAAAATAATAAACGATAGCAGACGTAAAAAATAACAACTTTTAATTCTGAAACTATTAAGGATATAGATACCATTGAGTCTCACTGTCACTATAAAAAGAAACAGGTAGGAGGGGTCGTCTCAAAAGCAAAACCAAGACGGGTGTTGCTGACAGAAGTTGGGGTCGGGCTTGGGGATAGAGATATTAGCCAAGATTAGATAATCAGTAGAGACATATTCAATACACATGAAAAAGCAGAAAAAATATTTGAGATGACCCCTTGTGTCTGTGGGCAGCACGTGCATTTCATGCCAAGTGAGTTGACGGTCCGTCGTCATACCTGACTGTCGACCTAATTGCCATCTATAGTCTATTGTTTTCAGCAGCTGTTCGTATTTTTTCTAAGTTTTGCCCGATTTGACGAGTAAACATGCTTTTCTGGATATCCTATTACGCATCCCACTGAACGCCCAGTTAGGCCGATGTAGGTTATTTCGACATATGCTATTTGCAATTGTGTAAATTGTAGGGGTACAGAGTAACAGCCTAAAAACAGTTTTTTTCTATTTCCGACAGTACTTTAGTGACTACACTATCTGAGGGGTTTCAGTGAAGTTTCCAGGAGGCTGACTAAGTAAAAGAGCCAGACAAGACGGTTTCGAGGCCTTCTTCAATCTCACTTGTTTACTGATTATGACCATATTGAGGACGGAATGTCTTTCGCAAACATCAACTTTTATGTCTGCTTCAACAGCTTTTTGATTGGTTGGTTGTTTAACGCCACACTCATCAATATTCCAGCTATATGGCGGTGGTCTGTAATTAATCAAGTCTGGACCAGGCAATCCAGTGATCAGTAACGTGAGCATCGATTACGCAATTGGGATACGATGACATGTGTCAACCAAGTCAGCGAGCCTGAATACCCGAGTCGCCTCTTGCGACAAGCATTGGCTAATGAAGTCCAATTCTAACCCGGGCACCGACTAGGTTGTTGCTGCCGACTCACAATGCATTTCATGATTCACAATATTGTAAACTCAGTCGTGTCTAAATCAGTAATGACTTAGCCCACTCAGGCGTATCTAATGTAAAGCATACGTACTAAGGCTATTGTTAGTCAAGTTACACCTGTAACAAAATTAACCATTGTATTAGTGTAAAATGGTGCAGGTTACGTAGGTACATGTAGATGTATAATTATAAGTGCATGCTACGACGCATGGATGTAGAATGAAGTGTATTCGGGTTTAATGTGTAGGCTGGGCCCCGTCTCTGGCATTGCAATATACAAGTTAGCGCGCGCAAATGGAGCCGGGAACCAGCTTAGATCAAATGTGTTTGAGTTGGATGACACAAGTCACATGTTCTATGTAGGTCACCTAGAACCATATGAATATTGCATGGTGGGATATTGACCAACGAGGTTCACGGTTAACTCAGACAGTATTGATGGATTGATGACCTAAATGTGTAGCATAGTTTAAGGGTGTCCACAGTATCATGGGTTCAGGCGATGTGAATGTGGAAACTTCACTTAATTAAAATATCCATGCCAGGTGATATGTACGAGGTATTATGAACTCAGTAGAATTGTGTGATTATGGTTTTATGTCCATTTTGCAATATTCCAGCAACATCATGGCTGGGGACACCAGAAATGAGTTTCACACATTGTACCCATGTGGGGAAATCCAGATGGTGGGCATGACAAGCCATCGTTTCAACCACTAGGCTACCCTACTGCCCTAGCTGGAAGTAGTAGCTTAGAACCGATTGGAATCATGACCAGGGCCTCCTTTCACAAAGCACTAAGGTGATCGTAAGTCACTAAGGTAACCTTAGTGCAATGTTAATGAATGGGAGTTAAGGTTGCTTCGTGAAAGGAGACCCTGTTCGTATGAGTCAATGTGGTACTTTATCAGATTATGTATTATCAAATTGTTTCTGGGTTATATGTTATACATAAAGCAGTAAGGGCACACTAAAAAACACCAAGATTCAATTCACTCTGTAGGGTTGTGCTACCCTGTTTGTGAAGCCTAAAGTGCCATATTGATAAAAACTGCCATAGAATGACGGCCATTTTGTGGGTGATGTATCCTGTAAACACATACAAATTGCAATTTTATGAGCAATGACCAGCATCCCTGTATGTAGACAATCAACTTGGGTCATGAGTCCTACCACGTGATCCATTTTGTTCAGGAAAATGGTTGCCAAGGTTCGAGTGGCAGCTCCACACTCACCTCAGATGCAGATCTTGGTGTTGGTAGTAGCAAATATTCAAATTTTACCTTGCCTAGGGCCTTTTCTAAGCCAAAATCCCTACAGAGCACACTGCCAGGGTTTCCCCATTACCACTCATATAAGAAGTGTTTTATCAAAAAACAAAACCCAAACCCAATAAACTTTGTCACACAATCTTGGAACACAACTAACTACTTGTACTGAAGATATCTTGAAAAAGAAAACATTGTTTTTTTACTTTTTATTAAAATGATATTTACACAACTCGCATACTTGTCCAGAAATATACAATATGATCTTACCTTAAATTTGAGCATCGGAAGATTTTCAGACAACATACCTAATCGTTCTTAGATAATGAAAATACATGAGCAGCAAAGCTGAATATCAACAGAATGCCAAACAAAAATACTGGCATAATTAACTGGATCCTCTTGTTACACACAATATCAGACTAGATCAAGAATGTAATTATGCAAGCTAGCAAAGGTAACCCATAACCAGATTTATTTATTTCCTAATGTAAAAATTAAGTAGGAATGTACATGGACATTTTGGAATGGAGATATTCTTGAACGTCTCAACAGTTAAAATAATACACCAGGGTGGTTGTGTATGTACAATTCTCCTTGCATAGTTAAGGAACTGGCAACTTCTACAAATTCACAGGTGCATCAATAAATACAAGACAAATAGACTATCACGTGTTCCAAAGCAACCAGTGAATGTATTCAAATGCTTTCACTCTAACAAAAAAGACATCAAATTCAACCAAAATGCTCAAAGGTTATCCAGCTCAGTCTTCCTGATTTCTCATTACAACCATATGACAGTCGTCCTGGCTACGTTCTTTCACGTCCACATAATAAACCTATCTACATTTGATAATCCTAGAGTTAAAGACAAGCAGTGTCGCCTACGCTTACGAGGTGTGTATATTTTATTGTGAAAAACAGTGATGAGATTGACAGGGATGTCATGATCCCGCGTGATAGGCAGCAGAATTGGTGCTCGCTCCTGATGCCATTCCTTTACTCCTCGCCAGAACCCGAAGATCTTTTGCTTCTTCGCTGGCGAGGTGATTGCTTTGGGGAACGCCGAGGAGAACGATCTGGAAGAGAATCATGAAGTCAGATTCAAAGGTTCACAAAAGACAATTAAATACCTAGCCAAGGGAGACAACTCTAAATCAAAATTAGTCCAGCTGCAAGAAAAGGCTCTCCATGTCAAGAGACAATCAGTATTTTACGTGTGCTTCTGGAAATTCCTTGTCAACCTCTCAAAGGATGAGTTATTTTTAGTCCTATATTGTTTTTAAACTAGCCATTCTGTGTGATCTGCAATCCCTATACTGGGAAACAAAATCTCTGCCCTCTTTTGTGAAACAAGACATGCCAAGCGAGGCAAATGCACAGAGAATTGTGGCGCCACAGAATGGGCTGTCTCTGACCCCCCCAAGTTGCTGAAATAATGCATCCATCAAGGAACACTTACTCATCTCCTGGAGCGTTTCCTTTGGGAGCCAGTCGTAGTCTACATCGGACTTCTGGGTGCCCATTTCTACTATGGGCTTGTGCTTTGGCAGCAGACGTTTCCGCTGGAAAAAAATAGGCAATAAGTTATTCCATGCCCTTGCTATATGAATCAAATCAAAACATTTCAGATCACCAAAGAGTCAAAACTAATGTTTGAAAGTGAGTATTTATCACTGACAATTCTAGATAAGTCAATATTTTAAATAATTTTTATCAATTTCAATCCAAAGGCCGACTCAGCATGTATAAGAAAATATGCTTCTTGTATATGAACATAGCATCAGCAAGACATGTTGACAACTCACTCCATAAGTGGACAGCAACTGCTGGGCTCCGACTAGCAAAAGGACAGCCACTGCCGCCAAAAACACGTACAAGAAGAAGCTGCAATAAACAATGTCATCAGATGTTATAAAACACAACATCTCATCAACATCTAACGGATACAGCAAATATGGTATCAGCTATACAATTGCAGCCTTTAAACATGTCTGACTAGCAAACCAATGATCGACACAAAGAACAAAGTTACTGATAATCACCATCCGATCCATCAAGTTGCCTCTCAGGCTCTACTACTCATATAAAACACTAGTTGTCATTATCTTAAGCAACAGTCCAACAGTTAACCTTGTTCAACATTTATTTATAATTTCCAAAGTTATCAAAGCAGCTGTAATGAACATTACATTACATAAAATGCTGCCGACTCCAATTTTTAAGGAGTGAGTATGTTTTTAACGCCGCTTTTAGGAATATTCCAGCAACATCACGGCAGGGGATACCAGAAATGGGCTTCACACATTGTACCATGTGGGGAAATCACACCCGGGTCTTCGGCGTGATGAGCAAACGCTTCAACCACTAGGCTACCTCACCGCCCCTCCAATTTTTTAAGATTTCTCCAACAATTACAGCCTTAATGATGAAATCAGTATGTGTTCACCAGCCAAAACATTCCCCTATTCTAGCAGTCAGGAAGATCGAACACTTTATAGTTGCCTAGTCTACTGTTGAGGCTGAACATATCGGTATCAACTTACGTTTCCCCATCCAAACCCTCATCAGGCTCCACAACAGTTATAGTTTCATTGTAAACAGCATTCTGGAAGTAGTTGCCTTCCTGCAAAGAAGAAAAGTTTATAGAAATAAAGTAATGCATCATATTCACACAAAAACTCTCTTGAAGGCTGTATCACATGACCGGAAAACATTAGCTTTTTAGGACTGGTAAATTGTCCCACAACTGTCACGAATCTTACCCTAGAAATCCACCCAGTCACCAACTACAAGCAAATCAATTCCAACCTGGAATCCCGAAGGGATCACAAAGCAAAGATACACATGTAAAGGGACTGAAACAAGCTGACCTGCAATGATGTGAACCAGTTCTGGATGTACAAACAGTTTAAATAAACCAGGTTTATTACTGTAGGAGAAATCCTTATTGATGAACACAAAAACTGAATCCATCACTCAAACTTTTCTCCTTTATTCTTGCAGCCATCAGGAAGACCAAGCACTACAGAGTGGCGTAGTCTGCTGTACAGGCTGCACAACACATTGACCTGATTTATCACTACAACAGCGACACCTAATGTGTCTTGTATCTGAAGTAAATCAAAGCAGAATTGTTGAATGATATTAAACGACAACTCTTAAACGTTATTACATTTCTAATTTTGAAGGCAAGTTGGGTTAAAATAAAGGTTAAATGATTTCATTGTCAACCAATGTAAGAAAGCATTTTACAATAAATTACTTGATTAATGGTATCATTGATTTATAAGGAATAAAATTAAGATTTGAGAGAAATCACCCAACCCCCATTTGACCTCCCTCCTTCTAACAGCGGTGGCATTCGATTTCAATAAACAACAAGAAAACATTGTGTCCAGGGACACAGATACCCCCGCTGCTGTAGGAAGAGTTCACACATTCAGGGTCCCACTGAAGTACTTGAAAACACTAAAAACAATGTATTGAGGGGTTACATAACACAACCTATTATCATATAAAGATCAATAATTGAACACAATTCACGAACAAGTTCAATAAACATCTATGCAACTATGAGATGCACACCTTTCGAGTCCCATTGCTTCCCAATGAAACACACGTATAAGCTTAATTCTGTTGAGCAGTTTTTGTGGAGAAGTGGTTAGACCTAATCCCCTATTTCACTATCAGAGAGAAATTCAACAAAATTTATCCAAGTTCAAATGTTTAAACATACAAAAAAATATAAAATACAAAAACAAAATATGAGATGCACACCTTTAGAGTCTCTATAAAAGACATGTAAGCTAAATGAGTTTTGTGCAGTGGTTTTTGAGGAGTAGTGGATAAAGTACCTGTTGTATGGGATGAACAGGATGAATAGAACCAAATTCAACTAAGTTCAAACATCTGTAGAAGTGACAAAATTATGAAATTGGATGAACAAGGTATGAGATGCACACCTTTAGAGTTCCAATGAAACACACTAAAAGCTCAATCATTCTGTTGAGCAGCTTTTGTGGAGAAGTGGATAGACTTCATCCCCTATAACACTATATTCAGAGAGAAATTCAACAAAATGTATGTAAGTTCAAACGGCATTAAAATTGAAAAAATAAATAAAATACAAAATCAAAATATGAGATGCACGCCTTTAGAGTCCCTATAAAGCACATGTGTAATCTAAATGAATTCCATAAAGTAGTTTTTGAGGAGAAGTGGATAATGCACACCCCCTGTTGGATGGAACGAACAGGCTGAACAGAACAAAATCCAACTAAGTTTAAACATCTGTAAAAGAGACAAAATTATGAAATTGCATAAAAAATTATGAAATGTACACCTTTAGAGTCCCTACAAAAGACATGTAGAAGTTCATTCAATTCTGTTGAGCAGTTTTTGTGGAGAAGTGGATAGACTTCATCCCTATTACACTATCATAGAGAAATTCAGCAAAATGTACCTAAGTTCAAATGTCTCTAAACTTACAAAAAAAAACAATAAAATACAAACACAAAATATGAGATGCACACCATTAGAGTCCCAAGAAAGCCCATGTATAACTTCACTGAATTCCACAGAGCGTTTTTTGTGGAGAAGTGGATAGAGTACATTCCCTGTTTCGTACGGATGGACACAGAGGGTAACCCTATATGACCCCAGCAATATATGGCGGGGGCATAAAAAGACACAGGCAATAACTGGCAGAGGAGAGCCATCATATTTTGATTAAAAATATAATTACTTGACATTACTTGACATTACCCGACATGTTGACCATGTTGAAAAAAGATTTCAGAAAATGTTTCCTTAAGTTGTCCACTAACCCTATTGAGCTGTAACCTATACTTCACTGAATAACTGAATTTTCTTTAGATTAATTCATGTTATCCATGAAAGCATCTAGAATGAAAATGACAAAACAAACCAGATGACATGGCTATCAACGGTCATATGACTCAAGACGTGGGAAAGAAGTTCTACACACAGTCCATCAAATAAAAACGGTTGTGCTCTAGCTTCTCCACAGTCTATCTAGCAGGTTGTTTGGGGATTGAACAACATATGGTCATCCAGTCACTATCAACCTGCAGGTTCCACAGGACAAGTACTTTAGGACACTCCTCATGTAACACGATCATGGATCATGTATGAAGTGAAGTTTAATGCTATTCTTGGATAGGAACTATTCATTAAAGTAATAGGATGAGCAGTATATTGCCAGCTCCAACTGTTTCAGGATATGACTTTAACAAAAACAGATCCACTAGGACTGGCCTAGTCATAATGATAACTTTTTCTCTGTGGTCCAACTATCCAGACACCACCTACAAACATTGGTTCCTAGAAACCATTTCTAACCTGTAAACCCACAATAACCACAAAGTGAACAAAAATATAAGAAGGGACTGAAGCAGACGGACACATAAGGTGTTTGAAATTATGGATGAAGTGTACACCCCAGTTCTGGGATGTGCAAACAGTTTAAATAAACCAGGTTTATTACTGTAGGAGAAATACTAATTGATGAACACAAAAACTGAATCCATCACTCAAACTATTCTCCATTATTCTTGCAGCCATCAGGAAGACCAAGCACTACAGAGTGGCGTAGTCTGCTGTACAGGCTGCACAACACATTGACCTGATTTATCACTATAACAGTGACACTTAATGTGTCCCAACTGCTTAAACTATCTCAAAGGAGAAGTGCTGAAATATGTTGATAAAAAACACTATATTCTTTAACATTACAAGAATATCTCTCCACTTTTAACATTTGGTATTATGTTGGATATTTTAGTTCATAAAGGACTTCTTTTCAAATGTCAAAGGATGACTTGTCCTGCAAAACACTGACCACCATTAAAGACTGACTGAAACTAATATTAAACCAAGACTGAATTAATAGAACATTCTGCTTATGGATGTAACCTTGACATTCAGGAAGGTCATTCTGACCATGACAATATCAGACCATATTACACAAATAATATTACAAAATGTTTTACAACATGTTACTTTGTTGATAGTTTCACTCACAGGGGTTCGAATCACTGTTTGGACAATAATTTTTTAAATAAAAATTTAGATTTTTGCAACTGTATATTGTTTTTATCTGTTATGAGTAACTTATATTTCAAATTTGAATGAAATCGGTGAAGAAATGGATTTTTTAGTAAATTCTCCCGCTACACTCATTACATAAAATACACAAGGGGTGACACTCACGATGCTAAAAGCCTGATCGAAAACCGGACAGCCTGACTATTTAAACGCACGTTCAATCAAACCTTACGTTTTTCTCAAAACAATGTGTTGAGCTTGTAGATTATTCTTTTGGCCTTCTGCTCATCGTATTCAGTTTGTCTAACTGCATTTCATATTTGACCACTGACCCTCGCATTAGCAATACCCTTCGTTTTGAACAAACGTCTGGCCACCCTTCGGTAAACAATGACCCTGTCAGAAAATCTCATAACATATAAAATAGGGTTGCAAAAATCTAGATTTTTATTTTTAAAATTATTGTCCAAACAGTGATTCGAACCCCTGTGGTTTCACTGATCTAAAATGAGAAAAAGAAATTGAACTTAAAGGCATTTTTCTTTCAGTCAACACTAGTCTTGCTGAATCTGTAAATTTCACTAAATATATATTAAGAGATCATAAAAGGAAAAGAAACCCTTGAAAAAAACCCCAACTAAATCCACAGATAGGGAAATATCAACTAAGTAATATGAAAGAATCTGGAGGTCTTTACTTTTCAGTGGCTCTGTCACAAACGTAAGAATAAAATATCGACAATTACATGTCACATGACTTGGTTATCAAGAGTTGTGACTAAACTGAAGGCATGGGGGAGAAGTTCTACACACAGTCCATCAAATAACAACGGTTGTGCTCTAGCTTCTCCACAGTCTATCTAGCAGGTTGTTTGGGGATTGAACAACATATGGTCATCCAGTCACTATCAACCTGCAGGTTCTACAGGACAAGTACTTTAGGACACTCCTCATGTACCACTATGATGCAAATTGACAGGTTACCACCATGCTGTATTGACACAACACATTGCTTATAGTAACATACAGTGATAAAATCTGCACACACATTCAACCCCTAATATTTACAACACTTCACAATACTAAGTTCAAGTTTTGACAATTGTTTCCAAGTTGCAACAAGACCCATTGATGTTGTTAATGAAATAACTAATTATGGGGACACCTACACTCTAACTTGAAACAAATGTTAATTACTGCCATCTCTTACAGAACAAAGTACACATGATTGTCTACTAAAAATCCTCTGTTGAAAAGTATGTGCACAAGTTGGGAGGGGAGACAACTCCAAACACTGGAGCTCATACTCACACTGTCTTTGTAGTTGAGGTTGATGGTGAGACCAAAAGGCCTGGCATTGAAGGCTTCATTGGCAGTAAATCCATATTCAAATGTTGCCTGCTTCTTGGGCTCTACAACTTGGCTATAGGACACTGTAGTGAACTGAAACAGTCACAATACAATCTTTCAGATACACAAAAATGATTTCAATCCGATACAAAACAATCTAATTCATTGTGAAAAAAGGCGAACATGGAGTATCAAAGACAAATTTCAAACATTGAATAAGTGACCACAAAACTGAAAACTGGTCAGAACAAATTTGCTTATTGATAAGTTTATGAATTATTTCTGCAACCTCATACAACACTCAATCTTGCTGATCATAACATATTTTGTATGTACTGTTACTATAGTTAGTTTTATTGAATGTTACATCAACCTAAACAACTGATCTGATGAAATTTTTGGGATGTCTTTGCAAAGAAAAACAGTTTGCAGTGCACAAAAGATTCCCTAAATGTTTGTTCCACTCAACTTAATCATTTCCAGTTCTATAAGAAAATAAGATACAACTGCCTAACATTTAAACCAGAGACTTAAAAACAAACAAAAATTGACATAAAATAATCTGCTACATCATAACATCTATTTGTTTCTTACAACAATGCACATTGCATTGTGTTTTGCTGCACCTGTGTACAACATAGGTTCAAACCAGTTTACTCACATTGTGGACATAGAAAGAGAAGTCTTGTGGGTAGCGGAATGATCCGTCCATTGTTTCCACAACAAACTCCTTGTCTCCCTTATTGGTGAATCCCACGAGCACACGAACCAACTTGCCAGCAGGAATTTCTAAGGGAAGTACAATAGATGCTTTAAAAATATTTAAATATTAAAATGAATAATGATGAAGGGCACACAAATCCAATCGTAAGTCTACTGACAGAATGTAGAAATCTCAACATATTGAGTACTGCGTGTCCTTGGGACATGTTTATTTCAAGATTACTGCCATATTCCACCAGGTGTGCTATAACATACACAGGGTTTTACACGACCCGCAAATGTGTGCCAGTATGCACAAATGTAGAAAATGGATCCAGAGGGATACACAATTTTATTCACTGTACCCACAACACATCTATGACTTTGCTAAGTGTTGTAGTTACGTGCATCATTTCACCCATCAGTTTACAGGATCCAATGATTCATTCCAGGCTCTAAAGAAATTATCAAAACATACAGTTCTCTACACTGTTACTTCACAGGACTTCCGTAATGCCTGCAAGGACACTTAAAACTAATAATTAGGGGTCCCTGGACACACTCATGTTCGTGAGTCGAGGTAAAACCCTGTATACATAACATTAACACGTTGACTGCCATCACGAGTATACTTGCACTATCAATGTCTGTCCCAATTTGCCACTACAAGTTATCTCATAGCTATATCAGCAGTATTTTAAAACAAGTTTGATGTCGGCAAAACAGCACAGGAAGCAATCGTCCCCTGGCTGTTTCTTGTGCCTATTTTGCCAACATGTGAAACTTGTTTTAAAGTACCACTGATGTAGCTACGAGATAACTCATAGTGGCAAATTCGGCCAGAATTGATACGAGCATACTTGTGATAGGCAGTCAACGAGTTAAGCACCCATGACTTGTCCCCTGAACCAGTGAGCAGCCATACATAGCCAGCATACATTGCAGGGGACCCATTTTAACCCCTTACAACAAATAGCCATTACTCTTAGGGACCTATTTCACACCTGAGCAGAACATAGCAATGAAGGACAGTAATGCACTAGCAAAGGCACCCCAACAAGAACCAGAATCATTGTATCAGTGTGAGAATTAGATGTCTGTGTGATGACATTCACAGGACTACTACACTAAGTACTGAACTGTACATGCAGAATGGGTAACTTGTTAAACACGCTAGATCCTTTTTTCAAGAAGGATATTAATCACGGCAATGATCAAACATGCAAACCTCTGTTGTCCCCGGATGGAATGTCAGGATTCATGAACAAGATGAAGGTGTCAGCATTCTCAGATGGTTTCAGTGGCTGATCCTCCTCCTCTTCCTGTAATACAAACATAACTTTAACACATGTAAACACCTTAATGGTAAAAACATCTTGTAAATGCAAAAGTGAGTATGTTTTACGTCGCTTTTAGTATTGCTCAATTTAGCAGTATATCCATCAATATCACAAGGAGAGAGAGAGGAGAGGTTTTACGCCACTTTTAGCAGTATTCCATCAGAAATGGAACCAGAAATGGACTTTAAATGTAAAAGGAAGAAAATGATACAAGAGCAATCAGTGTTGTGTTCCTCAAAGGAATCCTTGTGCCAAGATGATTGGAACCCTATTTCTTGAGCACTGTCTGGGGTTAATGGTTTAGTATGTTAATATAACATGCCATAGGTCATGCCTAACTTTCCATTGTTAAAGGTTACAGCAAGGTCAATTTGACTTTGAACAGTGGTATTTATATTTATTAACAACTGAGATACTTATTCATTGAACCCATCTACAACTAATGTTTCCTAGAATTCCCCCATTTAAACCCACCCACCTTTTCTGTGGCCAGTACTTCTCCTTCCTCTCCACTATCGCCAGTTTGTGCTCCATCGTCTGTCTCCACCGTTGCTTCATCATCTTCGCCTTCTATTGGGTCGTTCCCAGCATCGTCTGCCATGGCAAAGCTGCTGGTCCTGCCTGTTAATAAAGTCAACAACATTAAATTTGGGACAGGGTCACAACTGACATGACATATGAACAAGAATATTAGCTGAAAGGTTATTACATTGCTGTATCACTGCTGTATAAAGACACACTTGGCAATATTATTCCTATCAAATTTCACAGCATTTTTCTGGCAATACGATGATCTCCAGACCAACACTATTTGTATAATGACCATTGTAAATGGTGTTGGGCATAGTAACAACTTTGAAAAATTTAGTGACTGCTTGAGACAAGTTTGAGGACAAGTGAAATGGTCTGTGCTGAAATCAGCAATATTACAGCCACATTATTACTGGCAAACAAGGATAAGTTGGACTGGTGCAGAGAACGTGTTTACGACAAGTAGGCGGTGCACTGCAATGAGCAAACCCATTTGGTTTGTGAAAGGTAGAGCAGATGTAGGCTACTGCACGTGCATTGCATGATGATGAAATTGATTCTGTGTGTAACTGTCGAACTCTGTGTTTGCTGACACAGGCCACACACTTCACCCATCGCACTACACTTGATTGCTGACAAACTGGGTCCCCTTCACTAACAATGGCGAGCACCAGTGGGCAGCACTCATAGATGCTAACACGGGTCAATTGTCAGGTCAGTGCTTAATTTATCCTTGTTTGCCAGTAATGTGTGTTAAGACGAGCATTGTCACAATTATCAAATACCCAACTGGGTTGTTGTTTTAATTAGACATTAAAAGCTCCTGACTGAAGATGCTGTACATTTACACTTTGATTGACACCACAATACAAAGGCGTGGATGACAAATGAGCTGTTTTGTGATTGGTTAATGTACTTTGACAGACAGGTGCGGTCACGTGGACTTAAAGTGATTTTGCTTTACGACAACGCTGCAAGTCACAAGTGTGCTTCGCTAACTTTGCGAAATGTGACCAAATACCACGTGTCATATTCAAACGATGGATGCAGGAATAATTCGGACATTCAAAGCATACTACAATAGATCGCTGGTTAGACATTACCTCACCTGTGCTGAGGAATGACGTGATCAGACACGTCGGATCAACATGCGGTGGTGAATTCAATAAGCTTTACACTAAATGCTTATTTGTTTTATCCAGATTTGTGTCGTTTTTGTAATAGTAAGGGAAGCAACTTGGTTCTTGATTCAGTAGTCCGGACTATTCAAGCAATCGGACTACTTCATAACCGTGGATACTATGTCAATTTATTCATGCTGAAGAACTGCAATGGCTGCTTAGACCATATTGCTTAAATTCACCAGGTGGTTTCTGAAATAAATATGTACAAAACAATAGCCTCTTTGTCACAGATTTAGATGAATAGGTAGGACAAGAAGCTCAGAACCATATGTTGCTAAAAATATGATTGCATATGACGCATCTGCATTCAGCGAGAGTTTTAAGGACAAGTGGTAGTGTCAAATCTGTGTCGCTTTCTATCATTACAACACTGAATTATTAAAATTACAGCAATACATTTAACCAGAGCATTTGAGATGGACTGCACAGCACAATTATGTGTCATCAGTGTGATAAACATACTACTATCTGCATCCCATCCTGCATTCTCTTTGCAAATGTGGGGCTGTGGGTTAGCATAGATGTTAAAGTGGTCACTCGTCACTGGTCTTAATTCCTCACATGCGTACACCCTGTGATGCCCGTTCCTGATGTGACTCCATCACGATATTGTTGGAGTATTGCTAAAAGTGGTGCACAGCCATTTGTAGATTTTACTCTATGCAGTTACAAATCATGAGCGTGAAGGTACAAGTGCAGCCAAGAAGACTTGACGGAACGTTTAATGGATGCGAGCACAAGACTAGTGGCAGAATAAGCCGATTATTATTGTATAATACACTGGTATTAACATTTGAAAGGTTACATACACTCATGTTCATACACATTGTGACATATGGGGAGTACTGCACTTTACCGGGCGCACTTTTTCAGATTAATTAGCGCTGCTGGGGTTCCCTAACCCTAAGGATCATAAAGGGTGCCTAACCCTAAGGATCGTAAAGGGTGGCATACCCTTACCCTACCCCTAAGGATCGTAAAGGGTGGAATACCCTTACCCTAAACCCTAAGAATCATAAAGGAGCAGCGAGGGCTGCGGCCGGTAAAGTGCATTCTAGCCGACATATGTTTTATGGCATATGTTACATCACTGACACTCGTATAACGATATTGAAAATTAATATATTTTATCACCATTATTTCCCTGAAGACACTGTACATACTGCATCTAAAGAGGAACTAAATTTTACAATGGATTTTATACGTGGGGAATGTTATTGACCAAAGGTTCTGTCACAATCAAGAAAGTTCCAATACCAAGGCAGGTACATATGCAGGAATAATCTGTCGTTATTATGGGGATACTTTCATAATTAGGATCATTAAAACTAAGGCAACACTGTTCATTCGTGGCACCAACGGGTGACTGCATCCTTCACATTTAACCACCAGACTGTCATTGGAGTACATGACCGTTTGGCGACAAATACAATCCAAATAGCGTCAAAAACGATTACCATTAAGTTAACCTTTCCCACATTATTATGAATTAAACACAAAAGTCGACGATATTCCCTCTATTTTGCAGTTTCCACGACTCAAGGACTGCCACGTCGATGTAAACAATGCGTGTCCTAACAGATGTTTTACGACATTACAAGTGCTTACCTTGTCCAACAAACATCATAGTCGTTGGCAATAACAGGAGCATCAAAAAGAGAAAATTTCCAAATAGTTTCGCCATTATGATTTCGTGGCGTAAGACGTGAACTGTTGGGAGATGGCTGAGGATTACGTGAAACCGGCTTACACCCCTCTCAACGTAATGGCTCTCAACCGGAAAAGGGTGACATCAAATCGAGGTTTCCCGGAAGTAGTCTCCTTTTGTTACAGTTTTATCTATTGGTCAATGCTGGAAAATATAAGCCAATCAAAGAAATCGTATTGAAATATTTCCAGAACACTACATTGAATTTAATTGGTCACATTTTTACACTTTTCTCGCAAACGAACCAATAGCAACAGCTGTCTTATATGCTTGTTGCTTATGGAGAGATGAGTGCGAGCAAGTAGTAAAAGGTGTTTCCCGGCATCTAGTTTATTTGCTGTCAGACCCATGGTAGGCGATTTGAAATGCTTGTAATTTTGGCAAAATTGTATTTGTCAATCATACAGTAACTGCAAAAAAATCAAAGGTGTGCATGCAAAACCGTAACGCTTCCTTGTGGCTAATCAAGGGCCCGTGCAATCAGACAGCTGACAGTTGTCAATACTTTGTGGCTGAGGAATGTCAGATAAGACTGCTAAGATCTTTGTCATTTCATGTCATTTGTAAGCAGTCACTTTCCAGTTTATTTAAAACACCACTGCGACATTATTGCCGCCGTGGAAGTGTCATGTTCCTTGCACAACATACATCGTGAAGTGCAGTGCTGAAAAAACCCGTAGGAAGTGGAAGTGCATTGATAGAATGAGTAGAAAGAGATAAAGACTGCATCATAACCTTTTGGAATCGATCGTTTTAAGTAGACAATACTTGGTTATTGTACAGTGACATATTCTTAGAATAAAATATATGTTTTACACTTTTGACAGATTCAGTATTCTTTGCCATCAATGACCGATGACTGTGATGCTGACCACTCACTAACTGAAAAAGTTGAAACATTCAAAATGATATTGACACGTTCTTTTGTCTTTAGTTTTATTTCTTCCATGAATATTTTCAGTTGCAACTATATGTTAGCCATGTCATACTGTTCTGACTGTAGCTTTTAGATGACATACCCAGAAGCATACCTATTCTCTTTCATTGTTATGCAAAAAAGCATATGGTACAAAGATGTTGATTGCATTCAGTGACAGATAACAATATGTCCAACGGTTATGTAGTATGGCAACTGGTGTGTGCAGTCATGTGGAACTGATTGCATCTATTTATTTATTCATTTTTCCACATCTAATCCTGTCTTGTGGGTAAATGAGACAATTAACATATTTTGTCAGTTTGTCAGCTTTAAGTTCTGTCTTGAAATAGCCTGAAGCTAGGATAATAAAACCATCACTCTACCCTTCCTTACTTTAGTGGTCATCGTCACTCCCCCATTATACCCACCTCACCTATACTTTAGGCTTGATTGAGTGGAATATTACAGGGATGTAGCATTAGGATATTGCTGTGGCTATGATCACACATGTTTGTATGATTTCAAACTGTTTCATGATTGTAAAGTATACCAATGCATTGGCGGATCGGGGGGAGGGGTGTCCAGGGGTTCAACCCCCCTTTGAAAATGACTTAAGACCATATTGAAGATTTTTTTTGTGTGTTGGCGGAGCCAATGGGGGTGGGTTCCTTTAAAAATTCCTCGATCCGCCCATGCAATGCATTGTTCTGGTAGCTGTGTACCATAAAACTGTTTAGTTATATCTCCAGTCTGTGCCAACTAACCACCCCTAGCTTACCTTTCCTGATCCCATCAGTTTGGTTGATTATCATCTGAACATATGGGAAGGAAACACTTCAGGGACAGACAGTGTCTGGCTACTAGTCTAGACACTGCTGCAGCTACTAGTCTATTATTGAGTGAAAATCCAGTGGGACCAGTTGTTTTCTGTGTATATAGATGTCCTTTTTAGCATGTCCAGTTACATGTACTACCAGGAACAAATAGTGTACTGTCAGGTTATTCTGTACAAGCTGTCATAGCAATACACTAATGCATTACATTATTCAAACAAATGTATGAACATGTTGACATACAGAGAGACAACCTGGTGTTCGTCGCTGTCTTATTGCTGGAACATTGCTAAAAACAGCATCCATCTCACACACTCACTCACACTTAATGTGGCAGTTAACCAATCTAACTTACCCATCAAGAGCCCATTGTTTTGATGATTTAACGTCACCAGTTTGTGTAGTCACATCAATCATATTGTTCTAATAATTAGTGGTGTTCCGATGATCGAAAATAAACGAAACTCGATCGAAAGAAGGATTAAAAATGATTATCGATTGTGAAAACACATACGTTCGATTAATTGGAATTTTGTAGTTTTAGTTTAACACACTTGAATGAAGTAAACTAGCGATTAAATTTAACGACTATTCACGAACAAACATGCGCTCAACAACATAAAGCTATGCGCATTGTAAAATTTTAACTACTTTTATTGTTTAATTACAATTCCAGTGTCTTACTTGCATGCGTGCATTTCATTGCTGTAATACATAGTCTTTGCACAATGACAGTATTAGTTATAAGGAACATTTATTAGAAAAAAAATGGGAAAAAAACCTTCAAATTGGTGATTTCATTAAAAATGTATATATTTCGATTATAATCGATAATCCTTCATCACAATCCTCCGATAATCAATAGTGGATTTGGTTTCCGATTCCAACACTACTAATAATACATTAGTGTATTGCAATGGCCCTAACCATGCAACAAAGTCATGACATCATGTGTGTCTTGTTGCTTTGATCATGGTACACTTACAATGTATACTTTTACAACCTGTTTTGGGTAAAAGGACACAATTTTGACATTTTCATGTTGTATTAAACACGGGTGCATGATCAGACTTTAAAATGGACCAAATAGTAATCACGATATAACACTGATATGCAGTTGATGTGCAAATAATTTAATCAGTTTATCATTCATAATGAAGTTTATCATGTATCTCATGGTTGAATTCAATATCTGTATCCCAATACATTGCTCAAACAGATCAATCAGGCGATCAATTACCAGAATATTATTACGTCCATATTAACAAACCTTATGGGTGAAGGAATGCAGATATTTCACATCCATTGTGCAAAGACTATGTATTACAGTAGCATGCATAACATTACTGACACATGTCTATTGTCATGTTTTAATAATATCACTGATTGTGAAAGATTGATGGAGATACACAGAAATAACAGATAACTAAGATGGGATATGAAGACCATCAACATCATATTCAAACAGAAAGGCATGAACATGGTGAATGTCAAGCAGAAAACCTTTATATGTCTTCTCGAAGGTCACTAAAACTGGAGCTGTTCTATTGCTGAAATACTAAAAAGCAACATGATTAATTTCATGTCTTGAAAGTGCTAAGCATGAATAAATTATATAATGACTGCCACAAGAAAGACACACAAGAAGAGTTTAGGAATCTTTATTGTATTTACATGCACATATGGATGAAAACACCATGTTCACACCCCCCTGTAATAAATCCCCAGTTCCATATGACAGTGATAGGTGTGTAGTTATCCCGCTGATGTAATGTTGACTTAATGCAGTTACATCACATTACATCATCATGAGGTCTTAAAGAAGAGAGGCAGTGTGTTTATATCTCTGACCTCAGTAATATTTATGATGGCATTGTTGAAATGCCTTAAGGCAACTTTCTTAATTTGTCTTCTGTCTCTTAATTACTGTTATATATGATAATGTCCATCTTAAATACATTGGCGTTTTTATTGCAGTTGTAGAATTTCAGATTGAAGTTTTATTTGTTAGGATTAAAATCTGATGCCAGGCACTTTTATGAAAGTAAACACTTCTGTGAACAGATTTACTTTCAACACAATTAACCTCATGTAAACTTTCTATCACACATTCAATTCAAAATTGAACAACATGCACACACCACGTAGTGCTATTTGAGCTTTAGGTTGTGAAGAAAAACTCATGGGAATGTGATTTGAAGAATTATTTTGCTATGTTTGTTCTGGCTGTAGGGCCCAACCATAATTTTTGTGGATTAGTGGCCATTGTGTGGAAAACAAAATAATGAAAAAAATAGAACTGACTTTGGATAAGAACAACTGATAATGCGACTATTGTTTTAAATAGGAGCAAAACTGTTTGTTTTTTCCTAGTTATATTAATATTTTGCGCTATTCGGAATGTACTGTTTGTGTAAGACAGTATTGAGAGTGGTAAATACAAAACACCTCAAGGCTTATGAGGTGAAAAGAGTATGGACAGTAGGTAGCGATACATCCTGCAAATATAGTTTTGAGGAAATGCAGTACTGATTATATTTAGGTGGGAGATTCATTTATTTTTAGGTTTGGATGACATATTTTCAATATTAGTGGTGGAATTTGAAAACATTTTTTAGATATAGTTATCTGGACGGTGGGGTGTGATGAAAGCACCCCACAATACAGAAGCTAAAAAGGGATGAAGGTAGTTTAAATCCCTATGATCAAAATATGCCGAATATTTTGTATGTTGTTTGAGGTTTGTCCATTGTAGTCGACATGGTATTATGTCTAAATGAAATTATTTATCTTTTTTTATTCCATTTCAAGTTGCATGTACAGATAGAAGAGTGACATGTGTTGGCATTTACATAAAGTTAGTACAAAATTGTATACACATATGAGGGTGTACATATATAGATAAATAGGCCTTAGTTTGAAAATATTATTACTGTAGTGAACACAATAGTTTGAAGAAGTCAAACTGCATCTGTGCTAAATTAAAATGTCAGAATACCATATCTAAGTGTTGCCATTTCCTAGTAAACAACTAAATTTATTATATTTTTCCTTATCCTGACTCATGCATATTGCTTGTCTCCTTCCTCTTGCGAACGTTAGTGGAACACTTGTATCTTCTATTGAAGCTCCCTTCAATAAAACAAGACGTAAAATCACTACTCACCATGAGTTATCTGTCTGGCCGTTTTGGCGGGAAAAGTGGCGCCACCGCTCCCACATGCTTCACTCTCTCCTTCTTTGCCCTAGTGGACGGTTGGGAGAGCGCCTGTGTCTTCTATACGGCACTATATCCTTTTAATTATTAGTTATTACCCTATACATTACCTTTATAGGGGTTTAGGGAGTATCCTTCAACAATATGGTTTGAAATTTATTCGTATTTTTCACTGTTTATTCACGGGTTTGTCCGTGTTTGTTCAGTTGTTTACATTTCATGAAAACCTGTTTTCATTGTAGGTTTAGGTTCGCTGCTGCAGACCCGCATTGACTGTGCCCTAGCTGCACAACAACATGTACTTCCAGCTATCGATGTAATCTTATCAGCATTTAACAGAAATTCAATTTAATAAATAAAATTTCTCTGTACTTAGGCGTAC